TGAACGCACAAGGTGAAGCCTGTCTGTGCATGGAGAAAACAGCTGGAGAAGTCACTGTGTTTTATGTGGACCTTGACTTATTTCAAGGGGAAGGCAGGTTGTCATTGTGGGGTAAACAAGAAAACAGACTAAATCTAGAGTATATTCTGAGTCTAGAGAGTCTTTGCTTTAACAAAACGTGTATTTCAGGAGACAAAGGAATGGCAGGGAAGGAAAAAAAAGCCGTCTTGTTCCGCAGCCTCACCGAGGGACATCCAGAATCCTATTTTCTTGGCAGTGCATCCATTCCTGCAGCACCTCCAGGTTAATGGGAGGTGCTGAGGGAATCCTCAGTGATGATTGCGGGTACCATGGTCAGACAAGCTTCTCTCTGCCCCGTATTAATGGGGAACCCCACTGATCCTGTGGCTGCCTTTCATTTACCTCGTGGAGACAAACACGGGACTTACAGCCAAAGCGGAGGGAGGCTTCCCTGCTGACCACCGTGCCCCGGGGGTTGGAGGCCACGCACTGGTAGGAACCAGCATCCTTGGATTTCACCGGGTTGCTGATCACCAGGTCGCCCGCGACCAGCCGGTAGCGGGAATCGGGCTCCATCCTGATCTCCGTGCCGTTCATCTTCCACCTGCCGACAGCGCGGGAGCAGTGAGAGCCTCCGCGGAGGCCGCGCTTGCGCGTTCTCCTCCCCAAGGTGGCACGGGGTGCGGGTTAGATCCATGTGTGACCGGGATGGGGTGGCCCGTGGCCACGCGAGGGGCTCCGAGCTCACCTGTAGGTCGCCGGAGGACTCGCTCTGGCCCGACAAGCCAGCGTGACCTTCTCTTCGGCGGAGCCTTCGGGGAAGAGGGTGTTGACGGGCTGCTCCTCGAACACCGGCCCGTAGCTCCTCGCGGCGCCCTGTGCTTGGCAGCAAACTGCAAGAGACAGGAGGGAGAACCAGCTGAGCTCGGCGGAGCCTTTCCACACACACACACAAAATTGTCATTTTTGGTTTTGTCGTCTGTCCCTGGCAGCGTCAGAACAGTCCGGAATAAAAGAAGGAGCAACGTGGAAATCGCAGCCCATCTGTCACAGTGGCCCAGCCCCAGGCGGTGTTTTGGGGGATGAGTTTGAAGCTTTCTTAGTAGTTTGCAGACACAGGATTTGATTCTGAGCTGTTATACTTGAGTGTGGCTCAGGCAGGGGATGAAAAGGCGTTTTCCTATGTAAGGAAAAGGCAGGATGCTCCCTGGCACAGCCCACTCCGGCACGGGCTCGGGCGGCCCCAGCGCTTTGCAGTTGCATTAATAACCACCTTAAACCTGCCTTGCCGCCCAGCAATCTGTTTCCTTCCCCGCGGTCCCCAGCAGGGTCCCTGGCTCAATTAAGCGGCTCCGACGAGGGTGATGTTTTATGCAGGAGTAGCTGCCAGCAGGGAAGGGCTGCGGGAGCAGCCGCGCCGAGCGCGACACGGGCCGAGGGCTCCGCTAATTGGATCGGAGTGTCCCGAGCAGCTGCTGGGAGCCCATTCCGGCTGCTCCCGCTTCCCAAACAGCCGCAATTAGCCGGGCCCTCCGCGGCGGGACGCGCGGCACGAGCACCCGCACGGTCCCTGGTGTCACACGGACATACAGGACACGTAGCCTGGGCTAATACATCAGCACAGGAACAAGAGGAGCCTTGTTCTGAGGTCCGAAACCTCTCCAAATCCATGAAGGTGCCTCTTTTCCCTCCAGTATAGTTGTATTCTCAAAGGAGAAATTAGTGGAAGCTGGAAATCTCTTTTCTCCATTGGGTCAGCAACAGCTGTGCTGAGCTAGACTAACTAGAAATAACTCTCTGCTGACTAGCCGATAAAATAATCGTGATTCAATGCAGTATTAATAAGAAAGCAGTGTATTAATTGGATTCTGGTAGATAATAGTGAATGGATTAAAGTTTAGCAGCTTTGCATTTTGAGAATTATGCATAACGTAGTAAATAATTTATATTTAACATATAAAATACATATTAATCCTCACGTGAGTCCTCACTGGGAAACTGTTTCCCAGTCAAACTGAGTTAGGCTCATCCTGCTTCTCATCCCACCCATAGCCTGGACCCCTGTTGCTCTCCTCTGCTGTCCCTTTTCCCTGCCAAGGTTATGGACTACAACTGCCTGCCATTGATTTTCTCATCCGTAATCAATGCCAGAAGCTCAGACCTGGTTTTATCTACAATTCCAAGGTGTCTGAGTAGTGTTGGGGTAAAATGCCCGGGTCTCACTCACTGAGCAAACAACTTAAAGTAATAAGTAGTTACAAGTTCAGCATGCGGTTAGAACTAAAGGCTGAGAATGAAGCAGAGCATCAAATCTTGGTCCTCCTGAGCTGGATAATCTGGGCCGTTTCTGTCAGTCTAGAACTGTCTTTTTTAATGTTATCCAGGCAGGTACCTTTGGCTCTGTCTTTGTGCTAGGGGATAAAACAAACACAAAATCAAGGTCTTCAGGCCCACAAGCCAAATTTGCAGGAAGCCAAGTGACCCAATCAGATCAGATTTTCCTTCATTGCTCGGAATATGCCGAAAGCCGGGTCTGGAAAGTCCAGGTTTTTGCTTTATTTTGAGACCCTCACAGCAGTCTCGGAGAGCAGGAAAGCAGCCCCAGTGCTGCAGCTGAGCGCTCTGCTCTGCGCGTGCATCCGCAGCAACGTTTTCCTTGAGCACTTTGCTGGCTTTGTAGCTGTGCCCAGAGCCTGGCACATGAGAGAGCTGCAGAATTAATTGTTTTTATAAGAAACCTGAACACACACAAAAAAGCACAAAATCAAAGTGGTTGTTTTTAAAGAGCATCTCTCTGAGGAATGAAAGGACAGCACTTTGGACCGCCTTGGACTTCGAGATTTTCTGTGGCTTTTACTCCATGGAGAGAGGCCAGAGAGATCTTCAGAGTCCCCTGACAGCCTTCTTCATTAGAGGATCTTCTCTCTGCATTTTATGAGCTTTTTGGTAGCCCTGGGATGGCATCATTTCTGTGACGTGGCGGAGAGGGGGGACAGTTACAGAGCCGGCCACCCAGACCAGAGGTGACAAAGAGACCTGGAGGCCACAAGCCCCATCCTCTCCCACTCCGTTTCCTTGAGCCTTGGCTGGAGCTGCCATAATTCCATCCCTGCTTCCTTGCCCGTATTCCCAGTGAGCCTTTCCCTTGGTTTCAGCCTGGCGTCTGGGATCCATTGCATCATCAGCCAAAGGTCAATGGAAAACAACCCTCCTCGGGCTCCTCACCGAGTCATTTGTTATGGGCTCAGCTTGAACAAGGCGCAAGTTGCGTGAACGCAGCTGGTTAATGGGAGAGCCCAACTCTGCCTCGCTGCCTCCCCCAGATTCGGGTCAGACTCATTTCCAAACAGGCTAATTGCCTCCCAATCTAGGGCAGCCACCCCTCCCTCTTGCTCCTTTGGGACCCAGAGAACATTAAAAGGTAATTAGATATTTATAAGGACAGCCGAGCCGTCTCTTCCTGGGATGATGAATTCGCTTGAAGACATTATCCAGTTCTCAGCTGCCTAAAATGAAACGTCTCCCTGCTGAAAAGGGACCTTCAAAGTGCCTGAGACTCCCTGGGATCCAAAACCCATCCCTGATGAATGACAAACAGGGGAATCTTTGCAGCTGGGGCGCAGCGAAAAGGCAGCCCTGGAAGTGCTGGGGAACGAGGAAGACTTGGCTGCAGGAGCCGGGATGCGGCTCCTCCTCGCACCAAGGCCGGGAGCTGCTGCTTGTGCCCTGGCCTCTGCATCTCCTGCATTTCCCCCTTTCGAATTCAAAGAGGAGGCTTCTTTGCAGCGTCACCCGTCCCTATTCTCTTTCTCCGAAGGGTTCAAGGAGAAGTTGGACATTTCCCAGGCATTTTTCCCAGCTGTGTAACCCACCCAGGGAAAGCCCTGGCCCAGAGGCTCTTCTTACCCGTGCAGGAGATGACAAGCAGCGACGTGAAAACGGCTCCTGCGGCCGCTGCCATCGTGGGGCTGCGCTGGGGTTATGGCCTGCTCGGTCGTGTCCCTATGGAGAAGCGGAGGCAGAAACCCTGCGGGAGAAGGAAAAAGGCAGGATCGGTTATTTGGGGCATTTGGGTGGCTTGAGAGCCCAGCGAGCAGCTGCGAGGATGGAGCAGCCGGTGCCGCTGAGGAAAGCACAGGGCTTCCGAGCAGCCTCCTCCTCTCCTTTCTGGCATGATAGTCCCAGTTGGGAAATTATTCCTCCTCCTGCGGGACCCTGCTTTAAAAAAATACAACCAGGACTCATCATAACTGCAGGGGCTGGAAAAGCCCCCTGGCCTCTGGCTCTCACCTCTAACCTCAGCCTCATCCTGGCGCTTGGAAGTGCCCAAATCCCAGAGCTTCAGTGCAACTTCATCTTCCAGGTTTGGCAGCACAGCCTGTGTTTTGGTGCCTTATGCAATTAATGAGTATCTTGATAAAACAGACCCCTGCCCAAAGCTGGAGCAGCTCCCGGGCCGGCGGGGAGAGCGGAGAAGCTGCTCTCGCTGTGTCCTTGCAGCTGGGCAGTTTGGAGCAAAGGGCTGGGACACATTTCCATGAAATCTGCTTGTTCCACAAGCCCCGAAGTGAGTTAGTCCTATGAAATCACTTGATGTCAACAAGGCTCGTGGCCCTAACGCACCATGCGCCGAGCCCACGGCCTTCCCGCGAACACTGGCTCCTTGTTCCCCTGCTCTCCCCCTCGCCTGCTTCCCTCTCCCGGGTCTTGTGCTTCCATCGTAAGCACTTTGGGACAAGGACCAGCTTTTTGCTCGGTCTGGGCAGCACGGAGCGCTGGAGAGCCCAGGGCTGCAGTGTGGGCTGGCAGGCGAGAGCATCGCGGCGCTAATTAATAAATTAACTATCCCAAGTCTCTGCAGTTTGGTTTCTCTACCAGTGTGTCACGATGCCCAGAGGCTGAAGCTGCTCTTGTGCCCTGTAGCAGGAAATTAAAATCAAGACGCCTCTTGTTGGTCCTTCCTCGTCCCCATCTTCGAGGCTCCACGTTCTCCCTCGGCAGTCGGGATGTGCATGCAGAGATGCTGTCGCTCTGCTCTCTTCTATTCATTTTTCCTCTCATTTTTAAAGCAAACGTGAAAGGAAGGAGTGGGAGGGTGCTGGATTTCTTGGTTACTTGCAATAAGGAGCTTGAGATGCCTTGGGAGCTCCAGGAGCCACAGAAACCCTCCCTGGGGAGCGAGGGCAGCAGCAAAGCCTCCGAGTGCGGAGCAGTAACGAGGGGCTGCTGCTTCTCTGCCACTGCTTGGCATCTATCAGCACTTTGTGCTTTCCGCTTTATAAAATATAGATGCCGGATTTGAATGGGAACAAACTGCATCCTGCCTCTCCTGGGTGTTTTGGTGTGAGCAGTTGTCCCGGGTGAGCTCTCAGGAGGAGGGAAAAGGAGGGCGAGTTGGGATAACCTCCTGCGCGTATGTTCCTCTGCCAGCTTCCCCCCATGGTTTCCTTCCCTGTGGCTGAGCAAAGCTGTTCTCTTGTAAAAATTAAGCTGATTTGAATTATTTAATTAGTCATTGATTCATTATTTATTATACAGTCCACAACTTTGATCCCCAGTTCTGTGCTGGCTCCCAGCTCTGCAGCTTGCATGGTTTGACCCAGGCCTCTGCATCTGCTCTGTTTATCTGCTCTGATTCTAACGGAGTATCAGAGTGGGGCTCTTGGAAAGGCAGGTGGGGAGAGATGCTGCCGGGCTGCTCTTCTGCATCCAGCCTCGCTCCGGCCCCTGCTTTAGCTCCCTTGCAAAAACCGGGAACGTGGTTTGCACGGAGAGCTCCCGGTGCGGCCTCCGTGAAGCGAACATGGAGCAATTGCTCCAATGCTGGTGTTGTATCTGCTCACAGCCAGAGGCTGCATCGAGTCATCCCCTCAGATGCTGTTCTGCGTGTTCCTGCTCGTCTTGTCACCCAAGTGTCACGATCAGATCGTGCTGTAGAACCTGACTGCGCGATCGCATCTGGGGCTGCATTCGGACCCCCTCGGTGCTGGGGACCACGGGGCCTCCGCAGATCATGACCGGACCCGTGAATTCCCCATCTGACTCTGAACTTCTCCAAGTGCAGACGTGTATTTTGCAGCTGATATTTCGGCCTGCTCTCTACCCTTAATTAGAAGAGGGCCCACGGGGACCTGTTCTTTCCCCTCTTCATAGGCTATTTTGACAGTCACTCCAGAGCCTTCTGTTGCGCTGAAAGGGGATCTGCCATCCCTGCTAATGGATGCTGTCATTAATACCTCGAGCAGCAAGGGAGGGATGGGCACGCTCAAAAACACATGCGTGCTCTACATTAGCTGTTTCCCTCGGAGGCCTTGGGAGCTGAAAGTGATCCATTATCCTGGAAGCAGCGCTGCGGGGAAAGAGCTATAGGGATAGTTTGAATTCTCCTGAGCCTCTCCCCATCCTGGGCTCCCTCCTTAACAGTTCTGTCTTTGGAATAACGTGGCTGGGAGAAGATCGCTCTGGAAGGAGTCCAGGTGGGACCTTCTCCTGCTTTGTGCATGTGCCATGGCCCAGCCTAGTGACACGTCTGTGCTGGGTGAGAATTGGGGTGTTTTGGAGCATCCCTGGCTCCGGCTGCTCTGATTCACCCTGACACAGGAGCTGCCATGGGGGTGATGAGCCGGGCCCATCTCCTGGCCCCGGAGACGGGCTTTAACAAGGCCAGCACAGGCAGAGCACCATCTATCACCAGGATAAATGAGTGTTATTTAATCTCCTGTGGTTACATGATGAGACGAGCATTTGCATTTAAGTACTGCTGCTGTTCCTTGTGCAGCAGCATTCCCTAATGAGGAGCATCCTGACTCTGGCACTGACAGTGGGTGATTTAGGAGTTTCTCCTGAGTGTCCCTTTTATTAAGGATTGTTGCTAAGGCTGCAAAGGGCTGGATCTTTGCTGGCAAAACCTGCACTACGTTTGCTGCGTTTTGTCTGTCTCCAGAACATGCGGTTTCAGTGAAGTGGTTTTGCTATAACATATCTTTCCTTTCACAAAACTGCCCGTGCTCAGGCAAAGAGGTAGACTGAGATGCAGACTCCGGATTCAGACCGTCCCGTCACTTCTAGCTCATCCGTAACCCCAAAACACCCACCAAAACCCGGGTTGTGCTCGCGGGGTTTGCAACACAGGGGACCCCCCGGGCCCGTCTCTTCATGCCCCGATACCGCAGGCTCCGGCATCACCCGGAGGAGCAGGACAAGGGTGGGACAAAAAACCAGGAATGAGGGCGACAGCCCGAGGACGGCGCTCGGGCCCCGGCGGAGGAGGCTCCGCAGCGAGACGAGCTGCAACGGGGAGCTCCGAGGAGGGAGCCGCGTGGGACGAGGAGCAGATGGTGCCCGCGAGTGCCGCGGAAACTCCGCGAATCCCGAAGGGAAACTGTGCGCCGGGGCAGCGTGGGATGAGGGCTGGCACGGGGGATGCACCCTGTGCCCGTGGGGGGATTGGGGAAGGGAAGGGGCAGCCTGCACGTGGGGACGGGCACGCGGCACCCCCAGCACCAGGGCTTTTGCTCTGTGTTGCAGGCGAGGGGGATGGAGCGGAGCCCCGTGCCCCAGGTGTGAGCAATTCCCGTCAGCCCTTCAGCTAATTCCCATTAGCTAAATTGCACCTGGGAGGGGGCTCTGCTCTCTCAGTTCACTGCAGAGACCAGGGAGGGTGCTGGAAAGAGGTAAGGGGGGAGAAGCTAGGGCAAAGTTTTAATTTTGGGGTGTCCAGGGCTCAGTGGAGGAGATGGGAGGTGAGTGTGGCTGCGTTTCCCTGTATTGCTCCCCGTCATGTGCCCTGCGGCTGCTTTGGGGTGCCCTGTCCCTGCTGTGTCCCTTGGGTGCAAGTGTCCATGGCATTTGTACCCAGGTCCTACCCTGGCAGCTGCTGCTGGTGTCCTGCCTGCCTCCAGGAGCCGATAGCCTGAAACACATCGGGTGTTTTTAGGGATGGAGCAGCAGAATCCCAGCCCAAGTGCAGCACAGAGTGAAACCTGCTCTGCTTTTTGATAAGGGAAAGGCTGGGGTGCGTGTGGGACCCCAAATGGGGGCTCTCCCAAGAGCCAGGGGTTGTTTTCCTTTGGCTCCGTCGCTCTCCCTTCCCTTTTGCTCCTGGTATTTACGCTCTGGTCCCACCTCGCGGCAGCGCTGCAGGTCCCCTGCAAAACCCTCAGCATCTGGAATAACTTGGATCGCCATATCCATGGAAACGAGCACGATCCTCCCTGGAAGGGGCCATTTAGATTGTGTTATCAAAAACCCTGGAAAAGGGTGTGAGAAAATCCCTTCCAAGGGCCAGGGCACGGGAACCCCATTCCTCGGGACACCCACACCTGCCCTTCCATGCGGGAATCCCGCGGGCGCCCTGGAGCAGCCTGGCGCTGCAGGAGGAGTCTGCTCCCACCCGCTCCTGCCTTTTCCATCCGTTTCTCATGCTGTTTTCACAGCCCCTGCTCCGCGTGCCGGGCTCCGCTGCAGCCGGCGAGCTCGCGCTCTCCAGACCCGCGTTTTGGAAGGGGGTTATAGGGGCATTACAGAAACCAGGGTACAGCATAGCGCAGGTTCTGCTCTCTCAATGCCCGTCTGCAACTCCTGCTGGCAGTAAAAGATTCATTTTCACCTGGGGACAAAATAGACCCATCTAGTCTTTCTCATTCCAGAGCGAGGTGCAGGCAGGGCTTGCTGCCGCGCTCCCAGCGGGGCATCTGCATTAAGGCCCAGCCTCCAAGCATCCGTGCTGTTTTCTTGGTGTCTTTTAAGTGCCTTTTCTTAATAATTGGACAGCCCATTTGTGCACATGGCAGGTCACAGGGCATCTCGGGGTGGTGCTTGTGCTTTGCTCAGCCCAACGCAGCTCCCGGACGGGCTCTCCGCGAC